GAGAATTTCCAACTTTTTTGACTTATTCAAATTTTATCCTTCCATTCATGTCTAAAGGAACTCTCACCTAAGCAATGAAATGTCTAAACTATACAGATTACCTTTCAATTTATTTATAATATTGACCATTTGGCCTTTGTTATAATCTACATTGTCAATACTCAATATTTTATTTGCATTTCCTAATTAGATTTGGAAAAAATTTTTGCTATATTTTTGTATCTCCCCAATACATTACACAGATTAGTACATAATTTTCATTCTGTATATGTTTATTAAATGTAATATTTTACCTTTGTTAATGATATTGCTTGCCATGTTTTTTAATAAAGTTTATGGTCTTTTACCTTTTTCCTGATGAATGGCAATTTGTTCAAACTTAATTTAGTCTTCATACCTTTTTTCATTGTGTGTTTCTGCTGATAATTCTCATTCAGCATAGTAAAAGTTGTAGGCTCCTCATTCATTTTCATATAGAAAAAAAACTGTGAAATAAAGAATGCAAATATTGATATGTCACTCTGTAATTTGGAAAGGTATCTTATAATAAAAACAGGGGAAAATATTTTTTAATATTTGTGTTGAAGAATAGAGATGCCTGTTACTTTTTATAGATAAAATTAATGCCATTAACAAAGGATTGGAAACACAATTATAGATCTGCAATGATTTTATTTCCAAAAATTCTAAGCCTATCCCTCTCTAGCATCATTGTAATTTAAATAAAATAAAAGCATTAATTTTATTATTTGTACTCCCTAGTAAACATTTCACAATTTATGATTAAAGCATGAGGTTAATATTTACATTTCATAATTAATAAATATTGGACAAAGCATCTTTCTTTCATACTATTTTAGGATTTATTTTTATGTGTTGATTTTTATAGTTATTTATGTATATATTATTTTTTTAGTTTTCTTTTTTGTTGTTTTTATTTATTTTTTAAATACATCACAATAGTGGAATGCATTACACTCCTTATTACACATATACAGCATAATTTTTTGTAACTCTGTATATAAAGTATGTTCACACCAAATTATGCCATTATACATGTACTCTTTTTTTGCATTACAATTCTTAATACAGATAAATGCCCAGAAATGAAATTCACGGGTTGTGGAATAACTACATGTTTAGTCTTTTTAAAAAAAATTTTTTTTATTAGTGCGTTACAATTAAACATACTAGAGAGATTCATTATGACATTCATACATGCACAACATGACATATACCCTATTGATGTATACAGTCTGTTGATTTACTAGTTTATTTCTTTATTTTATAAAAAAATCTTCTTTATTTTGAATAAGTAAATAAGGAATTTAATTATAAAAAAGTAATTAAGACAGACTAAATACCAAAACATATAAGTTTCAAAGTTTGAAGAATTTTTGGTTATAAATATTTATTAAAATTGGTTTTCGGCATCAAAACTGGCAAAGCACTGATCAGGACAAAGTCTATTATTTGTCAGACTTTAAAATACCTTACTTGCCAGGTGTGATGGTACACGCTTGTTATCTCAGCAGCTTGGGAGGCTGAGGCAGAAAGATCATGAGTTCAAAGCCAGCCTCAGCAATTTAGGGAGGCCCTAAGAAACTTTGACCCTGCCTCTAAATAAAATATTTAAAAAAGAGCTGGAGATATGTATGGCTCAGTGGTTACAAAAAAGAAATAATAATAATAATAATAATAATAATAATCTGACTCAACTTTCCAAGCTTTTACTAAGAAAAACTACTAGACATGCAGCAAAGATTGGGAAGAAAAGAGTCAAAGAAAGCAAAACTTTGATAACTTAAAGCCAGAAAATAAACTGCAGTTTTTAAAGTTAAAATGTCTAAAAACATACAGAGTCTCCCCTAAAAATTTCCTAGTGATTGTTTGTTTTAAAAGTTGAAGGAGGGAAAATTATGAATGAAGTAGAAAAGGTTAAACGTACCTGAAATGAGGAGGAAATTTCAGAAACTTGAACTAAAAATTTAATATGTGGGAAAGTGAGGAGGCAGGACCTGGTAAATTAGAGCAGAAATAGAAACTGTCAATCCCAGTAGGAAAAAACGTGCTTGTTGGGTCACATTTGATAGTTAACTACAGGAACTTCACAACCACAATATAGGTGAGAGCACTGCTTGGAAGACAAGCAAAGTAATGTATTTCATTTCAAGCCATGATAAGCATAGAGAAATTACTTTCTTATGATTGGAGAATCTGGTGTCTTTTCAATTACAGTAACCAAAGTCTATTCACTTCAATAATCTACAAAACAGCAAATTAATTTGCTGCAACTTTCAGGAATAGTATTTGTTTACTGAAAAACAGGTATGTTGTCTTTGCAGAATTAAGGACAAATACATCATTAATAAACCATTAATTTTTTGTATTTTGAAAGAGAGATTATAAGAAGATGTATGTGGCTCAATCATAGAAACATATTGCTGACTTGTGCTCTTTCTTTCTTACTGATGCACACTTCATATTCTCATTTTTATTTTTCTCTGTTATAATGGTTTTGAAAAAAACTCACATTTGTCCAGTGTATTATATACTTTCCTCCTAAAAATATGAATGGTATTATTTGTATACATACATATAAACTTATAAAAATGACCCAATAAATAAATTAAATGTGATTATAGATCTAGAGATATATTAGGTATATAAAGAAAACCAAAGAAAAGAACACTTTTATTATTAATGACATTCAGAAACAGTACAAATAGTTATGAGAAGTAAGAAAGGTAATCACCATTCTTAGAATAGTTTCATAATGTTCTAATATGCAGAGGCTCTTTGGGCCATATGTAGTTTTCTTAAAATAGCAAAATAAATTTAAAAATCTGTTGTTTGGAAGTGTTTTGTTTATTTTGATCAAAACTCATACTCTGTTGCCTTTTAAACTATTACTAAAATCTCAAGTCATAAGCATTAATAATCTTTCTCCACATCTTATTTCTATGAATACAATGGTGGTAAGGATCAAGAGGTACTATATTTAAACTCATGTTTATGGGGTGCTAGAGATCCCAAATACAAACTTTTTACCATATTAAATAAGGTGTTGATGATAGTAACTTAATGAAACATGGCACTTGTAACTGTGAGTTCAGTTAAAGCTCTTTCAATGATCCTTTCTTTATAAGACTTTCTCACAGTGTGTTACCTTTTCTTTACTGTATCAAAATACTTGAGAAAAATAATCTTGCAAAGAAGAAAGTTTTTCTTTTTTTCTTTTTTTTTTTTTTTTACATTTTTCAGACGTTTCAGTCCATGGCTGATTGGCCCCATCACTTTGGGGGCTGAGGTGAGAAGGTACATAATGATGAGGAAGAGGCATTTAATGGAGCAAAAATATATTAACCTCCTGGTGATAGGTAGGGAGAGAAAAGGACTGGAGTCCTTCTATCTCCTTTGAGGGCATACTACCAARACCTAACACTTCTCATAAGACCCCACTTCTTGAAGTCTCCACTACCAGCCAATTATACCAAGCCAGGGATCAGATCTTTAATACACAGGCCTTTGGAGACATTCAGTAATATGAACTAAAGCACCTGATATAGACCTAAGACCATTTACATTACCCTAATAAATAATTCATTTCAATGCATTATCTGTTTTTGAGACTACTTTGCACTAATTTGCCTCAACATATAATGGAAGTTAATAATCAAAAGGATATTACAAAAACAAAGTAAAAATACAGACTGTTTCAAAATTAACTGATATATTAATAACCAAACTTTATATATGTCAAAAGGCAAGTTTGAGATAAAGTGACTCGGGAGCAAATATTCCTTTCTCCTTATCTAGTTACAGACCCCAGATGGGCAAACCGAGATAGTAAAATTATTTTTTTGAGACATAATATTTGTGCATCTTAATGTACATTTTCTTTTTTGAACCGGGGATGAAACCCAGGGGCACTGGGTCATTGAGCCACATCCTCAGCCCCATTTTGTATTTTATTTAGAGACAAGGTCTCACTGAGTTGCTTAGTACCTTGCTAAATTGCTGAGGCTGGCTTTGAACTCACAATTCTCCTATCTCAGCCTCCGGAGCCCCTGGGATCACAGGCATGCACTACCTCACTGGGCCTTAGCATACATTTTGGTAACTCAATACTTGTACAAAATATATAATAATCAAATTAAGATAATAAGCACTTCCATCTCTTCAAACATTAAACATTTTCATGTGTTGGGAATTTCATACTTTTCTAGTCATTTGGAAGTATAGATTATTTAAATCAATAGGTGCCCTTCTATGCTACAGAAAAACAGAATTCCTTCTCTCTGTATTGTGGTGCCCCTTTTTGAACTTCATTCCCTCCACAATCCCCCCTCTTCATTTCCTGGACTCTATGAACAGTTTTATTCCATTCGTCTACGTGATTCTTTTTAGTTTTCACAAATGAGAATATGTGGTATTTGTCTTTCCACGTGTCTTATTTCATTTAACATAATGACCTTCAGTTCCATCCATCTGCTGCAATTGACAGGGCAGGATCTTTAATGGCTCTGGAGGCCTTTAGTTTGTCAGATGTTTGTAAGCAAAACAACCCAGGGGAGCTTTTTCTTTTGCTCATCCTTTCCTAGTTTCCAACCCCATTCATAAGCGTACTCTTCCCCAAAAAGAGAAATCAAAAAAGTTACCATCACCATCTTAAGATTCAATAAGACTTGAGAGAGAACTTGAGATGTAAATGCTTCTTATTAGGTTGACAGCCTAATGCACCAGAACAGGTATAAAGACAGGAACACAGGACAATTTAATTCCTGAGGTAGACAAGATATATATGATATATGATATATATATATATATATATATATATATATCATCAAAGTTAGTCTGCCTTACAGCAAACAGAAGGACGACACTACTAACTTCCTTAAAGTTGAGATCTACAAAGCCAGAGTGATAGCATCTCCTTTGTACTGAGACAAAACTACAAAGGGAACAGTTGAGTTAAGTAACATATTACATCTGTTTCGATGCTCCCGGGTACAATGAGCTTCCTAAAGAGTTTCCCGCCGCCGGGCCAGGATGAGGGGCTTCGGCAACAGCAGCCAGATACAGAGGCTGTGCTGAACGGAAAGGGCCTCGGTATCCGCACTCTTTACACCGCGGAGAGCCGCCTGTCTGGGTTAGATGGTTCTGGATTAGGATTCTCACTGGAATACCCCACCATTAGTTTACATGCGGTGTCCAGGGACCTAAATGCTTATCCTCGAGAGCATTTGTATGTTATGGTGAATGCCAAATTTGGAGAAGAATCAAAAGAATCTCTTGCTGATGAAGAGGAGGAAGACAGTGATGATGATGTTGAACCTATTACTGAATTTAGATTTGTGCCTAGTGATAAATCAGCATTGGAGGTGATGTTCACTGCAATGTGTGAATGCCAGGCTTTGCATCCAGATCCTGAGGACGAAGACTCAGATGGTTATGATGGAGAAGAATATGATGTGGAAGCACATGAACAAGGGCAGGGGGATATTCCTACATTTTATACCTATGAAGAAGGATTATCCCATTTAACAGCAGAAGGGCAAGCTACACTGGAGAGATTAGAAGGAATGCTTTCTCAGTCTGTGAGCAGCCAGTATAACATGGCTGGGGTCCGGCGGGAAGATTCAATAAAAGATTATGAAGATGGSWTGGARGTAGATACCACACCAGCAGTTGCTGGACAGTTTGAGGATGCGGATGTTGATCACTGAAAATGATTTATGCTGCTTAAAAGTTCTGCTTATAACTAGGAGAGAACCTGGTGCCTCTTCCACTTTGGAGTGGGGTTGATGAAAGTCTTTCCTTCTCCAAAACTCTTAAACTAGTTCTTTCTCAAAACAGACTATACTGAGTCAGCAAGTTGTCACCAGCAGAAGGAACTACAAACTTTATTAACAAAGGTGAATTAATTCATCCAAGGGGGTACTTGTAGTTTATCATTTACCCCAAAATTTTGTGTTAGGTACCCTATGAGTAAGCCTATAATTCCTGCCTTTGCTGTATGAATCATCTGTATGGTAGCAGGCCTGTGGTAAACATGCTCAGGAGCTTGGAGTGTGGGAAGAAAAGGCAAATATCTCAGAGGGATCAGCCTTTGTTATTCTCCACAGAGTCAAGAGTCTTTTACTGATTTGGGGGCCAAATTAATTAATTCAGGCCTATGTAGTAGCCTCTTGGGAAATATCCTAGCGACAGATCCTGCCACTGACAAGAATGTTTCTAGCTACCTTCTGCTCCTTCTGCCCTCTTTTACCAGTCTACCCTGTATAGCCTCTTAGGTTATATCATTTAATTTCCACCCTCTTAGGTTAGTTTTCTGTAACAGAACAGTGAACTGAAATGAAAGTCCTCCAAGTACTTCTAATGATAATTGTTTTGTCTTTGTAATAACATAACAAATAAATCTAYATTTTCTATAAAAAAAAAAAGAAACATATTACAAGCTGCCTTGACCTTCTTCCATCCCTGGGCTTCACAAGTTCAAACTAAATGGACTTTTCCTGCATGAAAGGTATAACCACAGCCCTCAGGTCATCTTCACTGCAAATGTGTGGTGAATGTGAGAAGAAACTTGTTATGCTTTGTAAAAAGTCAAGTGTGAAATAATTTCACACTTTTTCTTGTCAAGATTTGTCAAGGTTGCTTCTCAACAAATTTTTAAAAAATTAATGAATTGCCCAAGATTTTGTACACTGCTTCTAAAGAATTCCTATCTTTAATTTTGTTGGAGGCATTTTGATATTATGGCTGAAAGTACATGTTTGATATCACATTAAGTCAGTATATTAGTTCAACTGTGCCATTTATAATTTTTGCATTCTTAGTCCAGCTTAACTCTATGATTTATTTCTTAATCTGTAAAAATAAAGAGAATAAAAGTATTCTCATCAAAGAATTCTTCTAAAGATTAAATGAGAAAACATGTTAATTACTATTATTGGGCTTTTGTTTCTAATTCAAAACATTTTTTAAAATTTTTTGGTTTAGTTTTGTAATTTTTTTTTTCTATCAGAAAATATCTCATGAAGTAAAGTCCTCATGATATAGCAGAATCAAGGACTTCCTCAATTGTGTAATACAAGGGATAATACCAACTCCCCTTTCCTATCATAATGCCTAATTTAAAATCTTTCCCAATTTTATGCTGATGCCAATGGTCCCATACTTGAAAACACATGCACTTTGTTCATGGCTAGATAAAGTGTATTTTGTCAGTCATGTATACTTTATTATATATGATATAATTGTAGATGCAAATGAAACTCAAAAATGGTATTTTCAGGTGTGAAAGAATTAAAATATATTGTAATAGATAATGATGTTCCAACTAAGCACATGGTTCAAATGAAAAAAAATGTACAACCATCAATAAGAAAGTATATTTAAATATAATTTCATACGAAACACATATTAAAAAATCTGAAGTTTATAAATGTCAGTAAACAACATGTACTGTCATCAGAATTGTTTTGACACAATACTGCCCTCTGTGCCATTAAGAACAATGGCCACATAATATTTCTTAGAAAAGTATCCCCTAATGTCTCTAACTTCTGATGCTCATTAGTGAGATTCTATGCTGGATATTATTTGCTCTGTGAAAGTTCTATAGACATTGTCTTTGAAAGTCTTATAGACAAAGAAAAGATTGTAGAAATTTTAGGAGAAAACACAGGATTAGAAAATTCTATTCCATTTGCTAATGATACTAAAATCATCTGTCGACTTAAACATGAAGGACCAACAATGTACACTATCATTATTACTACTCTGCATTGTCATTGTCACCAGTCAGAATCAAAGTCAGAAATAAGCAGATCTCAACTGCCTCTTAGCCAACAGTAATGGTAAGACTCCCTATATTTTAAGATGTATCTTGATATCATAGATGTTAAAATGTGAAAACAACATACCTTAGATTCAATGAAACAGATAAAAGAAAGAAAATGTGAAGGTGAAGCAAAGAATAAAAAAAGAATAATAAATAAGTATTATAAATCTAAAAAATATGCAAAATACTACATTAAGTCTGTCCAAGAAAGTTTTAGGTATTAGGTTTAAAAAGTATCATAAATTCTTAAATATACAAAGGGAGAAATGGTTAGTGTTAAAATAAATATGTGTTCCTTATGGGGCAGAAAACATGGCAAGAGAGAAACTAGGAAATTTTTAAGGCACATTAAAAAAGCATAATAAAACTCCCTGAACTATTTTTGTTGCAGTGAAAATTAACATATTTAAACAGACATCAAAATCTATATTTTTGGCTCCATGAGGACAGATAGAACACAGATAAGCACATGTACAGAATCTACTGATAGAATAATCAATGTACACGCAATGCATTCATACTTGTTTATATAGATAAATTCAAACAGAGAGTTATAATATTACTGGAATAATTGAGGTAAAAGAAATTATATTTTCATGTAATTATGCATATTGCTTTCTGTTTATTTACCTGGTTTGGGTAAACCTCTTAGGCAGTTAGCTCTTCCAATTGCTGGCTAGGTGAAACTGAGTACATTAGTTGACAATCCTCAGTGGCCTTACTTGTAAATGTAGGCAGTGATAAGATTTACTCACTGCATTATAAAAATGGTTATATGAACTAATTAGTCCAAATGCTTAACAAAAATTCTGCCACACAGTAAGCATCAAGGACAATTAATATCACCATGTTATAGTTAAATGAAGTTAAAACTGAATTATTACTCTGACAGAGTATTGGTTCCTTCAGTTAAATTGAGTTTCATGATTAATGAGACCTTTTCTCATTTTATTTCTGACTATATCTGGTTTTGGTTTCTAGACCTTGATACGTCATAAACTGATTGACGGTAGGTGAATAAGGGTATTGGTTACAAATGGGTGGTTTGACTGTTCTTGAGCCTAATATGTAACTACAGATTTGAACACTGATCTCTAGTTCTCTGTCATAAATTGTCCCCTGATCTTTGTTCAGACATTTACTTGTCTCCCTTTGTCTCTTTCCTTTGATGTATAAGTTTCAATAGCAGAATCAAAGACCACAGAGTTTTATGATGTAGAAATTTTCTCTTATATTGCCTTTCCTAGGAGCTTCAGAACCATTTTGCTGGTTCTTAATAAAGCTGCCCGAGCTTTGACCAACAAAGAGTGACCTATTTGCTACAAGTCTTTGGCTATTTCAGAATAAGAAACCCAAGACGTCAACAACTCACCATAGAACAATGGTTTCCAACCACATATGCAGGCAACCACAACAGTAGCTCCTTGAAGGTCTGACGAAATATTAACACCTTATTTTACTCCTACACACATTTATTAATTAGTCATATATACACTAAAAGTGACACAAAGTCATTGTATTTTGAAATCGTATTGTTTTTATTCTTCCTTACTATGGGGAATAAAGACCTCTTTCAGTGAGAATCCCTGGCAAGATTAATATTCCATATTATGACATCTTTAACTCACACACCCCTTTCTCCTAGTTAGAGCCTCATTTTGTAAAATTATCAGTGTCTAACACTGACTGGAAAATAATAATATCCAGATTTTTCTTATTGTTTCATATCTTCTCTTGTGGTTGGTTTGTTTTCACATTTTAAGCTGACAAAAAAAATGTTATATATATTTTAGGGTTTCAATATGGTGTTTTGTTATACATACACATACACATGTATCATGAAATGATTAAATCAAGATAATTAACATATTCAACGTCTTCATACTCATTTCTGGTTCAATAGACCTCTAAACATTTTCTACAGATAAAATCTGAAATTTTATGCTCTTTGACCATAACCTTCTCATTTCCTACCACTCACAGTCCCTGGCGACAATCATTCTACCTTCATTCTATGAGTTCAACTTGTCTAGGTTCCACAGATAAAATAACATCATGCAGTATCTGTCTTTCTGTGCTTTGCTTATTTCACTTAGCATAATGTTTTCCAGGTTTGTCCATATTGTCACAAGTAACAGATTTTCCTTTTTCTAAAGATGAATATTATTCCATTGTGGGTGTGTGTGTGTGTGTGTTTATATATTTGTGTGAGTGTATACATATAAAATGAGGCATTTAACTAGAAGGGTATGTGAATTACACACACACACACACACACACACACACACACACATGCACACACATATCGCATTTTCTTTTTCTATCAATCAGTTGATGGACACTTAGATTGCTTCCAGATCTTAGCTATTGTGAATAATGCTGCAAAAAAAGACATACAGATGACCAACAGGTATATGAAAAAATGTTCATCATTTTTTCATCAATCATCAGGAGTATGCAAATTGAAACCACATGAAGTATAACCACACCTGTTAGAATGCTATTATCCAAAAGATAAAATATGTTGATGGGGATGTGAAGAAAAGGAAGAATTTTTACACTGTTGGAAAGAATATAAATTAGCATAGTCACTGTGGAAAACAGTATGAAAAACTAAAAATAGACTTTTCATACAATCCAACAAGCTCACTTTTGGGTATGTATCTAAGGGATTGAAATCAATATCTCAAAAAGATTTCTGCATTGCGTTCTTTTGCTTTTGAATTTTGCAAACAACCCATTATCAAGCAGATAGTGGTGAATAATTGTTTTGAATTGGAGAGGGGGGAGGAAAAATTTAATACGTTTTCTTGTTTATGTCCAAACTGGAGGTAAATCAAGTATGTGCACGCAGTTAGACACCCTGGTCCAGAATAGAGCTCTAACAGTATCAGAAGAGGTTGTTTTATTAAAGAGTCTTCCAACTGGGCCCCGAATCTTCTTTGAAAATGGTTTGAGTAATGTATTTTGGTTAATATTTCTGAATGATTTGGTTATTGTTACTGTGAAAAATAAAATTAAAAACTTATCCCATACTAGTAAAATGAAATCAACATGGTATTGAGAGTCCAAGTACAACTGCAAATATCAGGACCAGCATTTTAGAGAACAAATCAAATGTAGAGTTGAATAARAAATTAAAATTGGCATGTATCTCCCGTTTTTCTCTTTATTTTTGTTGGACAGTCCACCTGTGATGATTTTCTTCTAAAGCATATTACTATGGTGAAACCAAGCCCCTAAAGGGACTGCTAGAATAGTTTTAGTCTA